TCTGCTCAGGTACCTTCCAACCCTACCAACTATGAAACTATGAGATCTAGGACTGGCTTTATTCTCGAAAACAAAAGTTAAAAAAAAAAATCAAGACCATTACAATTGCAGGATTTTGTCAGAAGTGGAAATTTTGCAAAAAAATCAGTGTTTCATTTCAGCCATTTCTTCAACATCACCATTAGAACATGAAACAGTGCAAGTAGTTTTTCCAGTGCAGCAGACTACATAGTTTTGTACTACAAGTCTTTGACTTCATCAGTACCAAATATCTTAGTTACACCCTGCATGGCGTCCTCCACCATAATGTGATGAGCCTGGTATGGCAGATGTCCAGGGCATGCAGGAAGAATGGGAAAAGATTATAATTCATTGTTGCTCTTCTGATGTTTTATGTATATATCAGGGGAAGTGCAGTAGAGGAAGGGAAGTGGGAATTATTTGAGGGCCCCTTGACCTGTTGCTTTGCCTCTAGGTGCTAGCAGGAATGTAGTCAGGGGCCATGTGAATGCAGGTACCATGCCATTGACTTTAAGGTCTGATAGGAGTGAGGATAACTGTCATGTGACACAATGTAGGCTGCAGACAGAAAGACTAAGGGGAGCTGGGAGAGATCCATGACAACTTGAAGGGCTCTTGGATGCTATGGTGATGGGCATGGTATAAGAACCTGAATGGAGAGGAAAATAGGAGAGAGCCTTAATATTTGAGCTCATTAGTCCAGCAAATCCCATGAGCATGCAGAGTAAACAGGAACCTAGCATATGCTGCATGATCTAAACTTGGGATTCCTGATTCAGCAAGCTCACAGCATTCACTGGCTGTGTAAGCCCTTCAGGGAAACATTGTTTTCAGCATCATATCTGCTGGTTGCATGTCACTGTGCATAGCACTGCCCTACAGTATCCAGCCAATGCAGATTACAGCAGTGCTGTGCCCTAATATCACAGTACAGCACTTTTGGAAAGCTGCAAGTCTACATCCTGGACCTGGCACTTGCCCTGAGAGCATAAGGTGCTTACACTTGCCCATGCTTCCTAAGGCCATGCATTGCCCATATTGGGATGCCTGGGAAATACAAGGAGCAGGTGGCAGGGAAATGCCAAGGGAGCTGAGCACTGAGAAGGATATTACAGAAGCAAGGCCTTTGTATGGGGTGCTTACACACCTTCTTCCTTTGTTAGGGGGTTTCTCACACTTACTGCTCTCCATAGAGGCATTCTGCAATTCTGAATTACACAGTTGGGGATGGCAGAAGACTAGAAGATTGCCAACCTCTGAATTCCTGCCACTTATAAATGGGCTTGAGCCCCCTGCAGTTGGTCTCTCACAAGTCAGAGTTAGGAGGCTGAGAATAGAAGAAATCACTTCCTGGTTCTTACCTGGCTTAGTGTGTGTGTGTTTGTGTTTGCACACAACACAGGCACACACACACAAGTCAGGGTAAATTTATTTTAAGTAGCAGTGGGCTGGGGTTTCATGTATTTTACTACAGCAACCTGATCTTAACTCATGTGATGCCTCTCATCCTTCCAAACACCCATTCTCCCCGCAGCCTAACCTTACTTTGCGACACATCTGCTTCCAGCCTCAGTGCTTGGTCAAAGGCACAGCTTAGATCTTTTGCTGCCTAGTGTAACCGGAGTACACCCAAGGGTGTGCCCTATTCTCAGTAGGATGGGATGGGTAGGCAGGAGGGGTGCTGTGAGAGGGATGCCAGAATTTCTAGCAGATCCCTCTTTCCTCTATAGAGTTAGCCCAAGCCCCAAAGTTCTTAACTATATACAATTTATTGAGTTATAATATACATAAACATAAAACTAAAGATCATATACATATATTTACACCGTGAACATTAACCAATAACCAAGATCAAATCCTAAATAACATTATTTACAACATCACAACACGTTTCAATTACAAAATATAAGGTGCAAACATGAACAATCTTAATAACATCTATTCCTTAATACAGCCCCTGACCTATGGTAAGAGATAGTCCTTCTTCCGATGGGGTCCCTTGTGGGTGGGGTGTCCAGGAAGCACCAGGGGCCCCTCCCCTTAGGTCTTGACTGGGGCGGAGGTGGAGGGGCTGCTCACCCAGCCCCTTCTCTGGGTTTGCCCACTCAAATGTCTTTCCCCTGTGGGACCCAAGGGCCCAATGACTCACGCTCCCTCAGGTGGCGGAGGTCAGGGCACAGCTTGATGGGGTCTCCTCTGCTGAAGTGCCTCTCCCATGCCACCGGGCTCCTTCCCATCCTGTGCCCCGCTCTGGGCACTGAGGGCTCAGCTCCTCTCAGCTGCTGCACCACCACTGCTGGCTTCTGGGTGCTGCACCTCACGCTGCAACACTACTATTTCCCTGTGTCCTAGCTTCGCCACCAAGGGCTCTTTTACCACAGG